TTAAAATAGAGAGTGCTAGAGTTAGAGGGTCAAATAAAGATGGAATATGTGTGTTTTTAGCCGATTCTTGAAGATGGCTAAGGACTTAGCTGCTCGGATTGAGTTGGGCAGGTCATATCACCAGGAGGGAACATTTAATTTAAAAGTCCGTAAAAGTGATTTTGTGCTTCTTTGGGATGGCACAATAAAGTGACGTTCACTTGCAGAATGCAAGCTTCTAGAGGGCACGTAAGTCTGAAGTAATGAATTTAGGTAAAGGGGTACAGAGCCAGTGGTGGTTTTGTGGGCAAACATCAATGCCTTGAATTTTATGCGAGCAGCTATTGGTAGCCAGTGCAAATTGATAAACAGAGGTGTAACGTGCATTCTTTTTGGCTCATTAAAAATTAATCTTGCTGCCGCGTTCTGGGTTAATTGTAAAGGTCTGATAGAACTGGCTGGAAGACCTGCCAAGAGAGCACTGCAATATTCCAGCCTGGACAGAACAAGAGCTTGAACAAGGAGTTGTGAAGCATGTTCCGAAAGAAAGGGCCTGATCTTTTTGATGTTGAATAAAGCAAATCTGCAGGAACGGACAATTTTAGCAAAGTGGTCTGAGAAAGTAAGCTGATCATCAATCATAACTCCAAGGTTTCTGGCTGTTTTTGAAGGAGTTATGGTTGATGTGCCTAACTGGATGGTGAAATTGTGATGAAACGATGAGTTTGCTGGAACCACAAGCAGTTCTGTCTTGGCAAGGTTGAGTTGAAGGTGATGGTCCTTCATCCAGCAAGAAATGTCTGTTAGACAAGCTGAGATGTGATCAGCTATCGTTGGATCATCAGGATGGAATGAGAGGTAGAGTTGAGTGTCATCAGCATAGCAGTGGTATGAAAAGCCATGTTTCTGAATGACAGAACCTAATGATGCCATGTAGACAGAGAAGAGAAGTGGTCCAAGAACTGAGCCCTGAGGCACCCCAGTTGTTAGATGTTGCGATTTGGACACCTCACCTCTCCAAGATACTTTGAAGGACCTATCTTGGTAAGACTCAAACCACTGGAGTGCGGTTCCTGAGATGCTTTGAGCCTGTCAAAATGTTGAGGGAAAAACACCAGTGTGAAGGGATATGTTAATGATGTGAGTGAGTGCAGGTACAACTACAGGAGAAATGGCTTGAAGGAGATGAGATGGAATAGGATCAAGCGGACAAGTAGTAGGATGATTAGAAAGGATGAGTTTGGAGACTTCTGCTTTAGTGAGTGAAGAGAAGGATGTGAATGAGTGTATGTTTTCTGGTAAGATGCGCTTGACAGATTGTGGTGTGGAAAACTGTGCACTGATGTTTTTAATTTTATTAATGAAAAACGTGGAGGAGGAAGTGATCCGAGGTGTGCAGTGGAGTAACCAGTACATGATCAGTGGGGCAGTGTCGTGTGTAAATAATGGTGCATTCAAGTCATGTCGGATAGATCGTATTTACGAGTTGAACGCACATGAATGCCACCACAAAGTCGTTATTACGAGTGGGAAACTCAAAATTTTCTTTAAGCCCCGAGTTTCCGAGTTGGAGTAGTGTCAGTGAGAAACATGGTGGAATCGATGGATGCAACGTCTGTAGTTGGCGGTAAATTTGTTTAAATTGATAGTTTAGTTGTCCTATAAACTTAAATTGGTCATGTTCTTGTTACGCAGCTAGTTAAAGAAATCCAAGTAAAAAAATGCTATAATTTTTGCACCTACAGGTGAAAAATATTTTGATTTGCCATGTTGCATTTAGCTAACAGCTTTTTTTAATCTCTGTATTTTAGCGTTTGTTGAAGATGAAAATCAGTTAGACTGGGATCCTGATCTAAAAAAAATATTAAAAACGCAAAACAAACCTGATGCGAATTCTTTGCTCTTCATTTTCTATAAGCAGTTAACAGACCCTGTTGTATTTTCTTGTAATTTATTAAAAGAATGTACACTGCCATCTTGTGCCGACTAAACTGACTTGAACGCACCTGACATCGTAATTACGACTTGTCAACTCGTAAGTACGAACGTCCCAGGAGGACTTGAACGCAGCATATGGTCCAGTTGGTTGCCTGATTTGTGAGTAGCAGTAGTTGACACTCGGTTGAGATCAAAAGAGGCAAGCAGAGTGTGGAAGTCTGCAGCCTGAGGTTTATCTAGGTGGATGTTGAAGTCTCCAAGCATAACTAGGGGAGTACCATCCTCAGGAAAGGTTGAGAGCAGTGCATCTAATTCATCCAAGAAGTTACCTAGTGGTCCTGGGGGTCGATAAACGACTACAAAATGGATTTTAAGAGGGTAGGTAATAGTAACTGAATGAGATTCAAAGGAGCTGTTGATACCCAAAGATGGTAAAGGATTAAATTTCCAGTCATTAGAGATAAGCTGACCAGTACCTCCACCTCTTCCAGAGTGGGAAAATTAGAAATTATTGGAGAGTGTAGCAGTGTCCTCTGGTTTGATCCAAGTCTCTGTCAGGGCCGTGAGATTTAGCGTTGAATGACTAATAATAGAAGTAATGAAATAGGCTTTGTTCACAGCAGACTGGCAATTCCAGGGACCAAATGAAAAATAAAGTAGTGTATTAGCAGACATAGGCAAAGTGTGCAGGTTGTTAGGATTGTGCTGCCTACAGTGTGTGAAACGTGGTTTGCGAGTGGTAGTGATAGTAGGGATCTGGAAAAACATAGTAAGAATTGGTTTTACTTATATCCCTTGCCGGTGTCCCTGCCCGGTGGAGTCGCACGGTAGAGTCGATGGTCTTCACAGGAGGAGGGCTTAACAGGAGGGCTGCCTCGACCACTGCCGCGGTATACTAACCTTTTTTTATACCCGTCGGACAAAACGGAAATTGAATTCAGCTGAACACACTTTACTGTTTATCACAACAAAGGTCTAAGCAAGCGCACGACACTGACAAGGTATGCGATAGAGTACGAGACCAAACGCATCTTCAGCACGTCACTATTAGTATTATTGATTAGCTGGCACTCTATAATAATAAGTCCTAGTAAAATATTGAAATGCTTATTTTTATGATCAAAGCTTTGTAGTTTTTATTTTGTGGAGCAAAACATAATGCAAAGCAATACAATGATAACTGAGAGATGTACAAATAACTGTTCAAATTTTTAACATGACTTTTCTTTAAAAAATGATATGTAGGAAGTTGCTTCCGTCCAGAACTCTCTCTTTGGATTAATTTGTGGTATGGATCTGATCGTCTGTTCAAGGTGTTGATCTACAGTGGACAGCTTGATGTCATCGTTGCAGCCCCTCTGACTGAGCGCTTCCTGCCCACTGTGAACTGGTCTAAAGCGGACGAGTATAAAAAAGTAGAGCGCTTCCACTGGAAGGTCCAGCCTAGTGATACTGAAGTGGCAGGTTACGTACGACAAGTGGGAGAGTTCTTTCAGGTGAGGGTTCACAGTACTGCTAGATCAATAATTTTAATTTATCAACCAATATATGATCTAATTTTGAAATGATCATCATTAACTGAATCCATACCTATTCTGTCTATTGTTAGTTCCAAAATCTGCTTACATCCTCATCAGTAGATAATAATTTTTAATAACTATAATAATTTTGGCAAATGTATTTAAATAATGTGTCAAATAAATGTTACATTTAATACTATTATTATTATTATTATAAAAAACATTTGCTGTAATTACGTTGGTTTATGCCAATGTATACCAATTGGAAAAAATACATTCATGACATGGTCACTCATAACAAATTTCTTTTTTCTTCTCTGTAGGTAATTGTCAGGGGAGGCGGGCACATTTTGCCTTATGATCAACCAGAGAGATCATTTGACATGATTGACAGATTCCTTTCTACAGATGGATTCTCGTCACATTGATACACTAAACTCATATTGAATGTAAAGTGACCACTGAATGAATCATTGTTCAGTTGTGTAATGTGTTTTTCAATGCAAAAGTTTGTGTGCTATTATGAAAAGAGTTGGGGGGTTATATTTTTATTGGACTATGTGTTAAGTGTAGGGGCTATGTTTTTATTGTACATGATCAGTTTTTGATTAAAGTATGACTTTAGTATAATGTACTACTTTTATTTTGTCTTTTAATTTTGAATCCATAAGGTTATTTTTTTTATATAAATACAGCAACAAAAGCTGTAACACTTTATTGTAAGGACCAATTCTCACTATTAACTAGTTGCTTATTATCATGCATATTACTAGGATATTGTCTGTTCATTAGTACTTATAAAGTAAAGTTAATTGATAATGATTTTTTTTTCATAAACTGGCATTATTTTGATGACATTTTAAATATTATAATATTTCTCATCCAGAGAACATAATGGCATTATAAAAGACCTTTTAAAGGCTTAAACCTAATTACTCGGCAGGCATTTTATATCTTTGTATAAAAGGTATAAATTTGTCTATTGAAGGGTTCTGCCCCAGTGACAAGTTGTTGTGTACAGGTACATCTTTCTTGCACATTTGTTTCTAAACATGTATGTGACAGTATTTTTATCAATGTTTTTAGTGCATAAATATTGAGCAAAATAAATGCTCATTTAAATTCAGTGATTTTTTTTTGTAAGTTCTATTTGCTACTTTACATTTGTAATGCACAATGTGTGTGTGTCTGTATCAAAATCCTTATTGGACAGATCTGTCCACCAGAGGTCCCTATTAAATAATCAAATAAAAATTGAACTTTTATGATTGTCACCTTCAGATGTACTCAAGTTCTAGATTAAATGCAAAACAGGGAAAGAATGTAAAAAGCAATACTTAAATTCACAACTACTGTAATCTTATAGTTTCAATTTAAACAATCATAATTTGGCAGAGCTTTGTTAAAGAACAAGTGCTTTATTTTCATATTGTAATATAGCTGTAGTGATCTCACATCTGTACATCTGCATAAACACAAACTGTTCAAGGCATTAATAAACATAAAATATACAAAGTTATGCAAGCGTGTGTGAATTCATGATTAACACCAAAATGAGTCCGAAACAAAACAGTGTCCACAATAAAACACTTATAATTAGTCTTTACAAAAAAGCTAAACAATGTCAAGGCCTTAAAGTTCAACCTGAATTGAAAATAAATGCAATGATATCAAGGTATTACTAAGGACTGACATTCCTCTCTATGTGAGTACTTAAGACATATTCAGGCACATAGTGACATTTGGAAAGCAGTATGAAGATTGGTCTCTAGATCAGTACCTGCGTAGAAATAGTAAATTGCTACATTTTCGCATCGGAGAGAAACAAAAGCGGAGCAAATTGTGTCATTACTTGCAATTAGACAAGGAAAATGCGACTAAAGTCCGTGACACACCAAGCCAACAGTCGGCCGTCTGCCAATGTCAGTTCCACACCGTCACCACTAGTCGGACCCTGTCTGTGTCTTTTTGGCCAATTAAGCATGTTAAATTAGTCTCAGGGAGTCGGTGAGAAAGATCACTCTGATTGGCCAACTCAATCTCACAGCAATTCGTAGATATTTTACTAGGTGGCTAATTATTATGAATTCTTACAACCTCACTAGTACGAATTTGTACATTTTGTGAAAAATTTCATGCACATATTACGAGGTGGCAAATTCGTACGAACGACCACCCTTAACCCCGCCCCTAAACCTACCCCTCACAGAAATCATATAGAATCGAATGAATGAAGTCATACACATTTGTACATATTGGCCACCTCGTAAAGTACGTACAAATTGGTTGTGAGGTAGCGCTGGATTGGTTGCTTTGCTTAGCGAACCAGTGCACAAGAAGAAAAACAAAAGTGACGAAAGCAAGCAAACAACAAAGAGGCTGCACACAGATGGCTGTTCTAATTTCACATCTTACCTGAGCATTCTGGTATGCAAATATTTTCATAATGATATGGCAACGAAATAACATGGAATAAAGTAAATTAAAAGCACTGCTTTGTTTACGGTTTGTATATCTGTAGTTCGGTTTCCCTTTTTGAATGCAGAACACTGTTGCCAACTACTGCCACCTGCTGGTATGGAAAGTAATTTCCTTTCACGCGTATGCAGAATGTGCATACTAGCTGGCCTTTGGCTATAGCCTTTGCGGCAACTTTTTGGCCCAAACACATGCGATGGAAGATAACAACAGTCGCCTTTCATCGCCGCTAGTTCTTTAATGTTGGTTTGGTGTGTCACCGTCTTTAAGGTATTTAGGACTCAATATTTTAAAGTGACAGTGGCCATCTTTATAGCTCAACGGTCCATGATCATACACTCATGAGGTATAAGGGACATTGCCCATACATCCCTTACAAAGTTCACCTTGGAATGTTATTATTAGGGCAGTTCACACAGAATGCGTTTTCACGTTCCATTGCGTGACGTTTATTCGGGTGTGTTTCAATCAGCTCCCTAGGTTGTGAATCAGTGTATCATGCACTGGTAAGATCACTGGCTCATTACACATTGAGACACTGTTTCTGAGTTGTAAAATGCCACCATCAAAACTTCTATCGTGTAATGATATGTACTGAGTTGAGGCGGTTCAGAAAATGGGATGTATTCTCTGGTAAGGGAACACAGTAGCCATAAATGTGCCCTGGTTTTGTGGTGCATTGTGAGATTTTTTTAAGAAGCAAACATTCCAGTGCACTGGAAGGATTTGTGATTGAGACAGCCAACAAAATGGCATTGCACTGCATGTCTCTGCTCCTTGTCAAGTTGTACGAAGTGCAAACGAATCTTGAGAACCTGCCTTTTGCATTTTATAAACGCGAAAATGCATTCTTGGTGAACGGCCCCTTACAGTAATAGTAACATCTCAAAATCAACAGCACATTTCCAGAACCTTTGATGGAGCCTGGCAGTTTCCTAAGTACTATAGTCAAGTGCAGAATTTACCATGGTCCATGTCAAGAAGGAAGCCTCATATGATTTCCTAGGCACCAAACAAACCAGGACTATGAACTGGGATGTATCAAAATATATCCTATTACATTTAATCCTATTAAATTTAATTTACCTCACAGTCAGAATGCCCAAGGAAGATCTAAACAATACTTCAAGCCAAAATGAAAGCTAATTTTAAGTAGCATTTAACAATGCATTTGGCTTCAGTGGAAGTTTTCCATAGCCTCAGGTAAAGCAAAAGCTTCCAAATGTTTTCCATGGCATTATTCTGGTTCAAGATTAAATGGAGTGTTTTGAATGTGGTTGGAAGGCCCACATATGAGCACAAAACATACATAAAAATGTATTGAAGTATGTGCGTAATACTTAGTCCACTCGCTGATCCGAAACAGATACCGAAATGAACTGCCAGTAGAAGTAATATGCAAACTAGCCCAGGGGTAGATCTGAGTAGAAGTTACACCAGCTTAAAATGAAACAGCTGATGGTGTCTTCTGAAACGTTCGAACGCCAAGTGAGATGTCTTCCTGGTGCAACACTATTGCAGCTGTGATCTCGCCACTCTGGTAATACTCCGAAATCTCACACATGTTCAGCAGGGCATATGATCACAGAAGCCGGTGTGAGCTTGATAAATGCATTCCATTTACATGATCTGTACCATCTTAGGAGTGAAAGCTGTTTTGTTTTACGAAGATAACTTTTGAAATTATATCTGAAATGACAGGCGCTAATAGGTTGAACTTAATCTGATCTAGATTCTGGTCCGAGCGAGCAAGTGAAGACAATCAGATTGCTGAGCATGTCAGAGATTCATATTGCTTCAGGTTACTTTCATTAGGAACTCCCAATGGAGACTGACCTTCCTAATTTATCCTTTTGAATTTGATAAAAAGGGGAATGTGAGAGTAATTGTTATAACAATAAACAGAAAGGAAAAGGACAGCATCTTTTTGGCAATGGAAAATTCATAGCAAAAGCTATCCAGCTATCTGAATTCTGTAATTTGTAAAGGCAGTGGTCCAGTAGTAATCCAGGAACAGATGTAACTGTTGCGTTTCCATTAATGATGTCCTTGACAAGTGAGATGGTGCCCGATGATTTATGCAGACTCCCTATGCAGACACAGAACTAAACAAAATGGTAATCAGTTTACATTTACAAATCACAAACAGAATAATAAGCTGCCACAGAGGCACAGAGGTGTGTGTGTCTGCCCAGAATTTGCAGTAGGGATGTCCAGCGTGGTGGGGGGCGTCAGGGGTGGAGTCTCTAGTGGATGGAGTTAATATCTGTGCGGTGATTGGGTGCTGTGCTGGAGGTGGTGATGGTATTGTGCTGGATGACTTGCTGCTGGGTTACAGGGGTGGGACTTCTTGCCGGACTGCTCTCTGGACCTGAGGGACAATAGGAGAGATGAAGATGTCTGGTTGCGTCCATTCAGATGTCTCTCTGTCTCTCAGTCCATCTTTCCTTCATCTGTCCATCTGTCGTTTTAGCCTGTTTGTCCATCCATGCATCCATTCATGTCTATCTGTCCATTCATCCATCCATATGTGACCCTGGACCACAAAACCAGTCGTAAGTAGCACGGCTATATTTGTAGCAATAGCCAACAATACATTGTATGGATCAAAATGATCAATTTTTCTTTTATGCCAAAAATCATCAGAATATTAAGTAAAGATCATGTTCCATGAAGATATTTAGTAAATTTCCTACCATAAATATATCAAAACTTAAATTTTGATTAGTAATATGCATTGCTAAGTACTTCATTTGGACAAATTTAAAGGCAATTGTGACGAGTGGGGCGGGGCCGAGAGCCGTGGGAATGGAGCGAGGCCGGTGGAGTAAATGATAATGAGCGAAACCTGCGCCACTCACCGGTCTCGAGTCCCACGGAGGAGCTCCGGAAAGATAAAAGGAGGAGTAACGACAGTGAAGGACGAGAGAGGACCAGGCCTGGATTTTACGTTGTTCTTATATTATGTTTTATGTGGCAGTCGTCCGTGAGGAGCTGCCGTTTTTACTTTCGTTTTGTGTTCGTTCACTTGTTTATTAAAGTTTTGTGTTTAAATGTTCGCCGGTTCCCGCCTCCTTCTTCCCAATCTATGAACTTTGTTACAGCGATTTTCTCAGTATTTTGATTTTTTTGCACCCTCAGATTCCAGATATTCAAATAGTTGTCTCTCAGCCAAATATTGTCCTAACAAACCATACATCAATTGAAAGCTTAATTATTCAGCTTTCAGATGATGTATAAATCTTAATTTCAAGAAATTGACCCTTATGACTGGTTTTGAGGTCCAGGGTCATATATGTCTGTCTATCTGTCCATCCATCAATATGTCTACCTGTCCATCCATCAATATGTCTACCTGTCCATCCATCAATATGTCTACCTGTCCATCCATCAATATGTCTACCTGTCCATCCATCAATATGTCTACCTGTCCATCCATCAATATGTCTACCTGTCCATCCATCAATATGTCTACCTGTCCATCAATCTGTCTATTCATCCCATTCATGCATTCATTCATTTGTCCATTCATCCATTTATCCATCCGTATCTCTATCTGTCCATCCATCCATTCCTTATATGTCCATTCATCCATCCATCCACCCATGCATTCACCTATTGATATGTCTATCCATCCATCCATCCATCTACCTATCGATATGTTTATCCATCCATCCACCCATCCATATGTCTGTCTATCTGTCCATCCATCAATATGTCTACCTGTCAATCAATCTGTCTATTCATCCCATTCATGCATTCATTCATTTGTCCATTCATCCATCCATATCTCTATCTGTCCATCCATTCATTCCTTATCTGTCCATTCATCCATCCATCCACATGTCTGTCTATCTCTCCATCCATCAATATGTCTACGTGTCCATCAATCTGTCTATTCATCCCATTCATGCATTCATTCATTTGTCCATTCATCCATCCATATCTCTATCTGTCCATCCATTCATTCCTTATCTGTCCATTCATCCATCCATCCACATGTCTGTCTATCTCTCCATCCATCAATATGTCTACGTGTCCATCAATCTGTCTATTCATCCCATTCATGCATTCATTCATTTGTCCATTCATCCATTTATCCATCCGTATCTCTATCTGTCCATCCATCCACTCCTTATCTGTCCATTCATCCATCCATCCATCCATCCATCCACCCACCCATGCATTCACCTATTGATATGTCTATCCATCCATCCATCCATCTACCTATCGATATGTTTATCCATCCATATGTCTGTCTATCTGTCCATCCATCCATAGATATGTCTATCTGTCCATCCATCCATCAATCTGTCTGTCTGTCCATTCATTCATCCATCCATCCAATCATCCATCAATCCATCCATCTGTCTGTCTGTCTATTCGTCCATCCATACATCCATCAATCTGTCTATTCGTCCATCCATCCATTTATCCAGCCATATGCCTGTCTTTCTGTCCGTCCGTCCATCCATCCATCCATCCATCCATCCATCCATATGTCTGTCTTTCTGTCCGTCCGTCCATCCATCCATCCTCTGTCTATTTGTCCATCCATCTGTCTGTCTGCCTGTCTATTCGTCCATCCATCCATCCATCTATTTATTTGTCCATCCATCCGTATATAGTTTAGGAAAAACAACTGAGATATTTACGAGATCTCATTTGTGATTTCCTATGAGAAGACAGGACAATAATGTGAAAATAACAAACACCACATTGAGATGAATATTTAAATATTCACAACTTCATTCATTATTGATGAATTTAGAAGTTTAAGAAGACAGGGAGTGTACATCACCTGAAGACGTTTACTTCAAAGAGAAAATGGAAACAATATTTCTGCATCATAAACACTGCTAGGCAACTGGTTTGTCAGTGACTGAGAAAGTGAGCGTTTTTGCCCTCCTCTATAACCAGGGAGTGGCAGCCTCCATACATTTAAAAAATGTCAGGAGTATCTATATCAGTGGGTGTGTCCTACAAACAACATAGTGTATAATCGTTATTACGTAATGTCACCTCTGGCCGTGTGGGTGCATGATAGTACTCACTGAGGTAACCTTGAGAGTCTTTCTGCATGGCGGTGATGGGACAGTCCTTATGTGTCAATAAAAGCTGTTTCAGTTGTGTCACCTCGTTCTTTAGCATGGTGACCTCGTTCTGCCAACAAAAACAATGATAACATGAAACACTCACAAAAAATCCCTCAGTGATTATATGAAATTGAATAACTTATTGCTAGTGAAAGATCCAATCATACACTTTGGCTAAAGACATAAAACAAAACATAGTGTGTAGCAACAGAAATTAATCAAAACTAAATGTCCCTCATTATTTCACAGTTAAAAAGTATATTTCACAAAGTACAAGTTTCCTGGATACAATCTGTGCTGGATTTGACTGCTTAAGAGTTACTGTCTATTGAAATTCCTATGTAGTTTAAGATTAAGTTTAAGCCGTGTTTGTGACAGTTAGCCCCTATGGTTCCCTAGAATGTAAACAAATTTAAACAAAGGCACACATGTTTATGATGTCCTGTTTTTGTCATAAACCATACAATACTTAACATAATTATGACAAACATCTTGGAAAAAGGTCTCTGGTGGATGTATTGGCAGCTTCACATCAAACCTCCCAGCAGACACAATGAATTAAAGGCCAGACAAGTCTGGGTCTCATTAGAAAACCTCATAATGAACAGGCGGTGAATTCTCTGCAATTACCGTTGTGGGAAACACGAGCGTCTGATCACACAGAGTTCTTGAATTTGATTAAATGATTTAGCAGAACGATACGAAAACATGGCAGCGTTTCAGGGATGCTTGGTGGAGAAGAATCCTCGCTTTGACAGGTACCATGTTTGTGACTGTGGGATGAATATTTCACAAAAGGCAAAACAAGCCTGAACAGTGGGACTATGGGAGTGCCAGAGTGTCTATGAGCATTCTGTCCCACCTCGGCAAACTATGCAATAACAAAGAAAAACAAACACACTTAAGATGTTTTGTTCTATTGTTATGGGGAACTTGGGCTGGGTGAAATTATCTCTCACTATTTTTCAGCCTTTTGAAAATATAAAACATATCTGATCTTTTTTTTTCCCCAGAGGAACCTTAATTTCAACCAAAGCAAATTTAATTAAAAATATTTAATGCAAAAAGCAAAATACCATAAAAATGTAGCAACAATGAAGGCAAGGTTTTTTTTAACTAAATGAAAGGACAAATTATATAGAAAATGTATATACAGTATGCACCATTTATTTACACCAGTATAAAAATACATCATAATAAACAGAAATGTTTGCCTACATACAGTGGGTACGGAAAGTATTCAGACCCCCTTAAATTTTTCACTCTTTGTTATATTGCAGCCATTTGCTAAAATCATTTAAGTTAATTTTTTTTCCTCATTAATGTACACACAGCGCCCCATATTGACAGAAAAACACAGAATTGTTGACATTTTTGCAGATTTATTAAAAAAGAAAAACTGAAATATCACATGGTCCTAAGTATTCAGACCCTTTGCTCAGTATTTAGTAGAAGCACCCTTTTGATCTAATACAGCCATGAGTCTTTTTGGGAAAGATGCAACAAGTTTTCACACCTGGATTTGGGGATCCGCTGCCATTCCTCCTTACAGATCCTCTCCAGTTCTGTCAGGTCGGATGGTAAACGTTGGTGGACAGCCATGTTTAGGTCTCTCCAGAGATGCTCAATTGGGTTTAAGTCAGGACTCTGGCTGGGCCATTCAAGAACAGTCACAGAGGTGTTGTAAGGGGGTCTGAATACTTTCCGTACCCACTGTATATGTTTTTGCTAAATATACATTACCGTTGAAAAGTTTGGGTCAGTATGTTTTTTGTTTTGTTTTAATACTTTTATTCATTAAAATGATGAAAGTGACAGTAAATAATATATAATTGTATAATGTTGCAAAATATTTCTATTTCAAATATATGCCATTTTGAACATTCTATTCATCAAAAAATAATAAATACATAATAAATACACAGTTTCCACAAAATATTAAGCAGCACAACTGTTTTAAACACTGATAATAATAATAATAAATATTTATTGAGCATCAAATTAGCATATTAGAAGGATTTCTGAAGGATCAAATGACTGAAGACTGGAGTAATGGCTGCTGAAATTCAGCTTTGCCAACACAGGAATAAACATTTTTAAATCAATTTAAAATAGAAAACAGTTATTATTTATACTGTATTTTTGATCAAATAAGCTCTTGGTGAGCATGGAGAGGAGAACAATCGTACCAACCCCAAACATCTGATCATTAGTAAATATTTCAATATATGGAAATTGCCAAAAATAAACTTCAATGAACATTTTTGAGCCAGTGAATCAGTGTCTTCAACTGATTCGATTTTAGTCATGAGGCAAGAGGGTTTATAAAGTAAATTAAAAATGAATTAAAATCTTTACGATATTCAAAGTTTTGCTTAATTTTATATTGTCAGCCAAATCACAAATATCCTTACATTGCCTAACGCTAGTAGGAACTTTTGATAAGAGGGTGGTGTTGCCTAGTGGTTAAAAAGTGTAGGCTGGTAATTGAAAGGATAAAACCACACAAACTGCAACCAGTGAACCATCGACTATTGTGGCCTTGAGCGAGACAGGTTAACCTCAGCTCACTCAGACAAACAGAGAGTGAATGATGTGGCCTGATGGGGATGATCACCGTGCCCAAACCAACCAAGCTGTTCTGGTTTCATGGTTTTAGAGGGGCTTTAGACACGTGTCATCTGGTCAGACTGGACCGCCAGACGGCCGATCACCTGAACACCAGCTCAATCAGGCTTGGAGACCTGCTGAAAACCAGCTTAGACTGGGATAAGCTGTGGGTAGTGCGGGATACACTCAAACATCCTCCAAAAACAGACTTACAAGACTACACACACAATCTTTCAGGTAAATCTCCATGCAAATTCAAGGTCTACTGAGAGCCCAAATGGATGCGTACGAATGGAAACCTCTCGCAGATGAGATGTGTCGTGATGCTCAGAGGTTTTATTGGCCTACAAACCACACATTCAGCTGCAGCTGGCTGTGCTCTGGTTACTCTGTAGACCTCAATAACCCATTGACCCTGCCCTCCCCACAGCCGTCCCCGTCTGCTCTCCATCGACAGTAGCTTCAGCTGTCAAATGAATGGTGTTTATGAGCTTCTGTGGTCTAGAGTAAGCTAATATCGAGTGAAATATGAAGCCCCGCGTGAAATACATCTCAGTGTGTGTTCCAAAGTGAAGTGCGCTTTAATGCTTAAAGGGTTAGTTCACCCAAAAATGAAAATTAACCCATGATTTACTCACCCTCAAGGCATCCTAGTTGTATATGACTTTCTTCTTTCAGATGAATCTAACTGGAGTTATATTAAAAATTGTCCTTGCTCTTCCAAGCATTGCAATGGCAGTGTGTGGGGGGGGGGTGTTTTCGTTCAACAGTCCAAAAGAAGTTAAATAAAGCGCGCGCATCCATAATAAAACGTGCCTCACACAGCTCCATGAGGTGAATAAAGGCCTCCTGTAGCGAATCGGTGCATTTTTGTTAGAAAAATATACATATTTAAAACGTTATAAACACTTTTCTCTCACTTCCACTAACTGTCATGCGTGCAAGCCGCTCCGGGCAGATGACGTAGGACATATGCGTCGCGCACGCGCCTGTGAGATATACTAGTCTCACGAGTTTGTTTACAGGAGCAAAGGAAGCAAAGTTTCCTTACTTTAGCAAAGGAAAACCAGTCTCCTCTTGGCTTATATCGAAATCCTCCTACATTTTTCTTAACAAATCCTCGTTTTGTGCTTCTAATTCATGACCGGCGTTTTGTTTTGCTGTTTCTCCTCCACGCTTCCGCATTCGTCTCTAATCACCGGAGCTAATGCTACACATACATCCTACGCCATCCTCCCGGAATGGCTTCTGCCTACGACAGTTAGAGAAAAGAAGAGAGAAAAGTGTTTATAACTTTTTAAATATGGATTTTTTCTTACAAAAATGCATCTATTCTCTACAGGAGGCCTTTATTCACCCCTTGGAGCCATGTGAGGCACGTTTTATTATGGATGGATGCGCTTTATTTGACTTCTTTTGGACTGCTGAAAAAAAACACCTGCCCAGTGCCATTATAAAGCTTAGAAGAGCAAGGACAATGTTTAATATAACTCCAGTTAGATTCATCTTAAAGAAGAAAGTCATGCTTTGAGGGTGAGTATATCATGGGCTAATTTAAATTTTTGGGTGAACTAACCCTTTTAAGAACAGAGGCTTTCAGCTGAGGAGAAGTGTACGTATGAGTGAATCTGACCTGCAGCTGCATGTTGGTTTGGGTGAGCTCCTCTGCTTTCTTTTCTAGCGACATCACCCACACTTTCCTCTTCTGTCTGCAGCGTGTGGCGGCCGCGCGATTCCTCTCCAGGAACTTCCTCCGGCGCTCGTCAGGGTCTTCGTCCACGACCCGTCTACGACGACCTCCGCTGGGCGGCGGGGACTGAAGGGTCTGCGTCGGATGCATTTGCTGCGCAGCTGGAGATAACTGGGACAACATAAAGTCTAAAGTTACAATTCTTCCCTAAATTCATACATCTGGCTGCCGGCCAATCACCTGTCTAACATCTCATCACTCAGACCTCTTCAGTCAGAAACTTCCTGTCTGGGAGTTTTCTCTAAAACAACAGGTGCCCTGTACATGTGGCCCTACAGTCCTATGATGGACATCTGGGTGTGAGAAACAGCAGTGTGATTTACAGGCTGCCCCACCCTCATAAAGAGGTGTCAGGGCCCGGTTTTCCACGGCACACGTCCACTCGGACCAATACTCTACAACACCCTGAGAAACAGGGCCACTACCAGCGCACAAGACCCACAAAAAGCTTCTTTGACATATGCTTGGCAGTTGACATGTTTGCCGTCTTTAGATCATTAAAGGTTTCTGGAGGCAATGGAAAATGCAGAGGCTTTGATGGTTTGTATGTATACAGGGCCCCTTCTTTGGCTTAATAATACATTAAAGCAGAACCTTTGAATCACAAAAAGATGGATTCAGAATTTTAAATAGACAGGTTAATATTACATAAGAGTGAGAGAAAAAAAAAAGAAAAAAATAGTTTTAAAAATCTAGTTTAAAACACATACAGTAGTTCTAAGAAATGTACTCTTTATTTCATATAGTTTTGAAAACCTTTTATAATAATTTTCAACAAAAATGTGGTGAAAGTTATACGTAAGAACTGTTTTCATTTACAGCTTACATTTTCAACAACATACAGTACTGTACATTTTCCTTTCAGTTTATTTTTTAATTATTAAAAATGCTTTGCATATTATGTTAAAAGTAAAAACATTATAATTACTTCATAAATGTCATTATGCTTTTAAGACCACAAGATTTTTTTTTGTATCATATGACATTTTACAACCTGAACAAATCTTGTGTTGTCATAATTAGGTGAAAATATATGATATTTTAAGAGACGTATTGACCTTGACACACAGTCGTGAGTTTGCAGGTGTCTTTCTATGATATAATTTCCTGTTTTATTTTTTTTTCTGTGTGTTTCTGCATGTTGGTCGCACCACAACTTTGATTTGGCAGACTAAAAATTCCTTAAACATTAATAATACTTCAAGAAAACTTGAAGTGTTAGTTTGTTTATTTATTTATTTAATTAATTAATTTACCTTATTTTTTAAAATGTCATTCTTTTAATAAGGATTTGTTCTTCATTATGATATTAGGACAGTTGTACCCTGACATTTTTTATTTTATTTTCAATTACTTTTAATTTAGAAATAAAAACATAATTATTAAGAGTTTTTCTGGCAGATGTTCACAACATGGCCCCAGTTTAACTTTTTTTTCTGATGTTTCACTCTCTCAATTTATCCCAACTCAAGTAAACTCGAAAAGTTAAATTCAGCTTAACTCATCAATCTCCACATCAAATGTACTCTCCAAATATTGCAGCATTAGAACCTCAACAACTGGTTCTCCCTCCAGGTTCAGTACCTGTGAAGCAGCAGAGTGCATGGGTTGGTGTGGAGAGGTCTGATGTCCATGTGCAGGGTGCAGGTGGGGCGGGTGGGAGTTGTGGTGCCCGTGGCTTTGTGGGTGGTGATGGACGCTCTGTGCATGGCCGGGGTGGTGGTGGGCATGGTGTGGGTATCCGTGGGGCGGACCCTGCATGTGCTGGTGAGGGTGAGAGTGCAGGTGGTGGTGACTGGCCTGATCCTGCCGCGATGGCATCATCTCCATCATATGACCCATGGAGTTCATGCTGCCATTCGCCATGCCCCCTGGATGGTGGGCAAGGGCAGCTTTCAGTCTCTGAGTAGAAAAACAGGGAAAATTGTATATGTTAGTATTATGACTAGCAAGGTTCAGATTTTCCATTTAAAAATGCATTTTTTTAGTCCACTGAAAACAAAATGCACCTAGACTTTGATTAGCACATGACTAGTATACTATATGACAACTATATGACTAGTGCTTGCTGTAGCAGTTTGCAGTGTGCTTCAGAAACCCTCCACCTTCCCCAGCTCCACCTGTATAGATCTGCTACTAGGTGATTCATGTATGCTATATGGGGGTTATTTCATGTACACTCGTGGTCAGAATTATTGGCACCCTTGGTAAATATGATCAAAGAAGGCTGCGAAAATAAATCTGCATTGTTAATCATTTTGATCTTTTATTTTAAAAAATCATATAAATCTAACCTTTCATTGGAGAATAAGAATTTAAAATGGGGGGGAATATCATTATGACATAAATGTTTTTCTATAATACACATTGGACACAATTAACGGCACCCTTTTATTCAATGCTTTTTGAAACCTCCATTTGGCATAATAACAGCTCTGAGTTTTCTCCTGTAATCCCTGATGAGGTTAGAGAGCACCTGACAAGATATCAGAGACAATTCCTTCATCCAGAATCTCTCCAGACCCTTCCGATTCCCAGCTCCATGATGGTGCTTCACATAGGGTACTTTTTATCCCTGTGTGCACCAAACCCATCTTGAGTGTTTGTTGCTTAAAAGCAAATTTTTTAGTTACATCTGACCATAGAACCCAGTCCCATTTGAAGTTCCAGTCGTGTCTGACAACAGAATATGCTGGGGATTGTTTTTGGATGAGAGCATTTTCTTTTCTTGATTTTTTTTCTTGAAACCCTCCCAAACAACATGTGGTGTGCTGTTTGATTTTTTTTAGAAGTTTTCTGACCCTGAGACTCAACTATTTTCTGCAATTCTTCAGCTGTTGTTCTTGGAGAGTCTATAGCCACTCAAACTCTCCTCCTCACTGTGCATTAGGACGATATAGACACACGTCCTCTTCCAGGAAGATTTGTAACATTTTCTGTTGATTGGAACTGCTTAATTATTGCCCTGATGGTGGAAATGGGAATTTTCACTGCTCTAGCTCTTTTCTTAAAGTCACTTTCTAATTTGTGAAGCTCAATTATCTTTTGCTGCCCATCAGAAATATATTCTTTGGTTTTTCTCATTGTGATGGATGATTAAGGGAATTTGGCCTTTGTTTTCCCTCCTATTTATATTCCTGTGAAACAGGAAGCCATGGCTGGATAATTTCATGTTCATAATCACCCTGGTGTGCTCGAAATTGTAAATATGAATGGGAATATACTTCACAGATATTTTACTCATAAGAATTTCTAGGGGTGCCAATAATTGTGTCCAACGTGTATTTGAGAAAAAACATTTATTTCATAATGAGATTTTCCCCCATTTTCAACTGTTTTAGTTCAATGAAATGTTAGATATTTGTGAATTTTTTTAAATAAAAGATCAAAATGATTAACAATGCAGATTTATTTTCACAACCTTCTTTGATCATATTTACCTAGGGTGCCAATAATTCTGACCACGACTGTATGTTAAATTTGCAGCCGCAGTATTTCTTGCTCACAGCTGCATGTTGTGGATGTATTGGCAGTAGCAAGTCTCGGTACTTGCTCTGCCGCAGCAGCAGCGTAGCAGATTATATTCGAAGTCCAAACACATTAACATTGTCATGTACATTACCATGCCAATCCCTCTGAGAGTTGTCATATGACAGAAATATTATTATTATTAAGAATATTACATTAAATTTTCTTACCCTATTGGCAATTTTTTTATCTATCTAAATTTAAAATTGTAATAAAATAAATTAAATATAGTGGGAAAACATACAAATTTTAAAACAATATTTTTTCTGTTTAAGCATAAATTAAAATAAATTGAATGAGGTTTATTATACAATTTTGCTTCCAAAGAAAATTAATGTTTCTTTTTTAAGGGTGATTACCTGGAAAACAAGATAAAATACTGATTCATTTAAATTTCAGTGAACGTGACAAAACATGACTGTCTATTGAGTTGACAAGTGAATGATTCTACTTTTTCCCATAGATTAAATGTGACCACTCGCCCACTTTGTGACGTACATGAATGTCCGAACTAAACCCGTCACTCCCATTTACCCTCTCACCCACACACCTACACACCCAAGCACACTATTCCACTATCTGTCGTCACTGTCTAAGAGCTTCATCTGAAGAACGGGCCCACAGCGCGGTGCAGGTCTGGCAGCGAGAGGGCCCTGGGGACTCTCTCCCCCGATTTGCCCATTTCCCCTTCAGCCTACGCTCTGTTGCTTCAACCGTGTGGTCTACTTAAGCTTTCACCCAGGGCTGGTCTTGATAAAAATACCCTGCAGTTGTACTTTTGGCATACTAATCTGGTATATTTAAAGTACTAAAGGTATTTATTTAAAGTAAAGTAATAATAAAAGTTAAATAAAGTGCTAAATTGGAAAAACTAATTTTGTACTTAATGCACATTAATTGTGAAACTAAAGATATGCTGAAGTATATTTGATTGTGCCCAAGTGGAACTATTGCAAGTATACTTCAGGCACACTTTAAATTTCTTGCATTTAAAGACCGATATTATTCAAAGATCATGCAATCCTCATCAACAGTGACATTAAAACACATTTTAGGCCTAATAATAAATGCATTTTAAATATATTACTTTTTTTACTAGGCTGGGATTTATAAATTGCCTAAAATGTCCACTTTTAGTTTTGTTTTCCTATTGACGTGCTTTGTACAGTCCTCATACATTATATTTACACGTATTACATTGCTTTGACCTTTCTCTGTAGATCTCACCTTCTCGCACGCCACGATTGGTCGATTATGTACAATGCCTGCATGCTATTGGTCAAGCTACTTTTAAGTCATTACCTTCAGTAAGTATGAAAACAATAAGAAAACAAAGCCAAAACACTGGACATTTTTTTTTTAAAAAGTCAAACAAAATCGCACATTTAAAGTTGCACTCAGTAAGTTTTTGTTCGTTGCACTGGCCAATATGAGTCTTGGGCATATACTGACACCTAGTGGTGTGGATGCATCATCAAACAAAAGCAAAAATATTCTGTTTCCAATGCTATTTTAAAATAAAGCATCATCTTAGGATACATCCACTCGAAGCCAGAGCTTTCCCTATCCGATCTTTTTTTTACCCTCGTCTCAAGAAATATCTGCATACACACGAAATCGACACAAAACGATGCAGTATACATGCCAGACCAGCATGTGGAGCTGTAATTCTGCCACAGAGATACACTAAAAACGGAGAAGACGACTTGGTTGGATCCGTGTGGACGAAACGCCAATACGACACAAAATTTTTGCGTATACAGCTAAACGTCTCCGTGTGGACGGGGCCTTAGTCAGTCACAATTAAGTTTTTAATAATACAAGGGGTTATAAACATACTGTAATTATCACATCAGCTGGTCTAGCTGGATTTGAGGCAACCCACTCCATGTAAAATAAAAGTTTGTAGGCTTTCAGTATTTCAGTATCTCATGTAAATGTACATCATTTTACACGTTTTACAAAATTACTATTCACTTCTTTGTGTAGCCTACATTTATATAGAAGGAATAGGGTAACCATATGTCCTCCTTTTTCTGGACAGGCCCTGTCTGCCCTAGTGAACAAAAATAAACTAAAATGTATTTGAAATGCTAAGTATACTACAAATACATTTACATATTTAAAGTCACTTTTAGTTTTGTTCTCCTATTGACGTGCTTTGTACAGTCCTCATACATTATATTTACACGTATTACATTGCTTTGACCTTTCTCTGTAGATCTCACCTTCTCGCACGCCACGATTGGTCGATTATGTACAATGCCTGCATGCTATTGGTCAAGCTACTTTTAAGTCATTACCTTCAGTAAGTATGAAAACAATAAGAAAACAAAGCCAAAACACTGGACATTTTAGGCAATTTAGAAATCCCGGCCAGGAGAGAGAAATATTACCGTTAAGTAATTTAAATCTCATAAGTTTTCACAAACAAATCCAAAAGAATGACAGAAAAAATCAGACATGTCCCTGCCACGCTCCTGTTCTCCCACACGCTCCAGATGTTGTCGGTCAGAGAGGCCAGTGTCCAGAGCTGTGTGTTTGTAACAGGCAACACATTCACTCTATGAGAGTCATAGCCAGCTGGACCGTATGTGAGTGCCAAGGCACAAACCAGAGCACAGCATCCCTTTCTTCTCAAGCTGGTCAACCTGTGAGATGTCTTTTTTTTTTTCGAGATGTTTTATTCTCTGAATCATCCTAGTTGCTATTTACCAAAACAAAACTCAAATAGATTTGATAAGTTGCTGGCTCTTCAACTCTCCAAGCCAAGCCATACCGTCCCTGCCTGACTGCTGGAGCTGCCAGTGCTTTCTGCCTTCACACACTTGCTGCCAAATACACAAGCACTAACCTACCCACCCTTACTGCTGCCTTAACTGGCATTAACGCTGTTTTCACCCACCCGCTGCATCTTAATCCACCCTAACCTTTGCCAATGCAGCAGTAATGACCCACCATTTCCTTAATCAACATTTCTGCTGCAGCATGCAAAACACTTTCTGTTAAGAAAACACTGACAGCCACGAGGCACCTAAACCTTTTGTTCCCCTGAGTATGATATGTCTAGTGTATGATTTTTATGTCGGGATTTTATGTTGTGGTAAAAAGGACCAAAAGTAGCTGGTTTTGCCTTTTTAAAATGTAACTTTATTTACACAATAGCCAAAAAAGTAAATGGACACTATTTAAAAGATATTGATCATTGTTACAAAATTCAAAACAGAATCCTGAACAAAATGTGTCACAGTTTCCATGAAAATATTAAGCAGAACAACTGTTTTCAACACTAATGAGAAAAAAAAAAAATGTTTCTTGAGCGCCAAATTAGCATATTAGAATCATTTTTGAAGGATCATGTGACACTGGCGACT